CCCCTCCCCGATCTGGGGACCCCTCCCCAATTTCAGGACCCCTCCTCACCGGCGCTCTGGGTGTTGCCGCTGGGCTCCAGCTCGGCCGCGTCCCGGGGGAAGCTGCAATCCCACCCCCCAACCTGGGCACGGTCCCGGGGTCCTGCGGCCGACACGGGGAGGAGGGGTCAGGGACCCCCGAAACGGGCCGGGGGACCCCCGAAACGGGCCGGGGGACCCCCGAAAAGGGGCGTGGGGAGGGGTCCCGGGTACCCGCGAGGTGTCGGAGGCGCCGCACCGAGGGCAGCACGGGGGGGCTGCGGCTCTGCAGGAACAGCACCACCAGCAGCGTCAGAGCGTAATTGGTGAGGAGGGGTCCGCCCCCGGCCCGGTTCCCTGCGGGAAAAACGGGCGGGGGTCGCGCCGGGGGTCCCCAGGGGGCCGCGACCCCCCCTCGATTGGCCGCGACCCCCCCTCGATTGGCCGCGACCCCCCCCTCGCTGCCTGCGGGAGATTCCTGGTGGGGTTTGGGGCTCTGCTGAGCTCCCCCTCCCGATGAGGTTTTTGGGGGGGGGTCCCTTCTGCTTTTGGGGGGTCCTCGCCCCTTTTTGGGGGTCTCAGTCCATTTTGGGAGGGGTCTTCACACACTTTTAGGGGGTCTCAGTCCCTTTGGGAGGGGTCTCCAGCCCATTTCTGGGGTTCCCAGCCCCTTTTTGGGGGTCTCCAGCCCATTTCTGGGGTCCCCAGCCCCTTTTTGGGGGTCCCCAGCCCATTTTTGGGGGTTCCCAGCCCCTTTTTTGGGTTCCCAGCCCATTTTTGGGGGTCCCCAGCCCCTTTTTGGGGGTCCCCAGCCCATTTTTGGGGGTTCCCACCCCCTTTTTTGGGTTCCCAGCCCATTTTTGGGGGTCCCCAGCCCCTTTTTGGGGGTTCCCAGCCCATTTCAGGTGATCCCAGCCCATTTCGGGTGATCCCAGCCCCTTTTTGGGGGTCCCCAGCCCCTTTTTGGGGGTCCCCAGCCCCTTTTTTGGGTCCCCAGCCCATTTTTGGGTGGTCCCAGCCCGTTTTTGGGGGTTCCCAGCCCGTTTTTGGGGGTTCCCAGCCCATTTCGGGTGATCCCAGCCTATTTTTGGGTGGTCTCAGCCCATTTTTGGGGTTCCCAGCCCCTTTTTGGGGGTCCTCAGCCCGTTTTTGGGGGTCCCCAGCCCGTTTTGGGGAGGGGTCTCACCCGCCAGGCGCTGCCCCCCCGCCCAGAGCCGCACGGCGTAGCCCAGGGGCCGCACCCGGGGGTCGGCGTCGGCGCAGAGCCGCAGGAAACGGGTGTTGAACAGAGCCAGGCTGGGAAATGGGGGAAAAACGGGGAAAAATGGGAAAAATGGGGAAATAAACGGGGAAAATGGGGAAATAAACGGGGAAAATGGGGAAAAAACCGGGGAAAATGGGGAAAAAAATGGGGAAAAATGGGGAAAATGGGGAAATAAACGGGGAAAATGGGGAAAAAAATGGGGAAAATGGGGAAAAAAATGGGGAAAATGGGGAAAAAAACGGGGAAAATGGGGAAAAATGGGGAAAAAAACGGGGAAAATGGGGAAAAAACGGGGAAAAATGGGGAAATAAATGGGGAAAATGGTGAAAAAACCGGGGAAAAATGGGAAAAAAAATGGGGAAGATGGGGAAAGAACGGGGAAAAATGGGAAAAATGGGGAAATAAATGGGGAAAATGGGGAAAAAACGGGGAAAAATGGGAAAAATGGGGAAATAAATGGGGAAAATGGGGAAATAAACGGGGAAAATGGGGAAAAAAATGGGGAAAATGGTGAAAAAACCGGGGAAAAATGGGGAAAAACGGGGAAAATGGTGAAAAAAACGGGGGAAAATGGGGAAAAAAACGGGGAAAAATGGGGAAAAATGGGGAAATAAATGGGGAAAATGGGGAAAAAAACAGGAAAAAATGGGAAAAATGGGGGAAAAAAACCAGGGAAAATGGGGAAAAACCGGGGAAAATGGGGGAAAACCAGGGAAATTATGGAAAAAATGGGGAAAAAGGGGGAAAAGTGGGGGGGGTGAGAAGGAAGGAGAAAAAAGAAGAAAAAAGGGAGGAAAGAAAGGGAGAGAGGAGGAAGAAGGGAAAGAAATGGGAAGGTGCCTCCCAGTTACCCCCAGTATGGGGAAAATGCCCTCCCAGTGCTCCCAGTGCCCTCCCAGTACCCCCAGTCCCCTCCCAGTCGCTCCCAGTCGCTCCCAGTCCCCTCCCAGTGCCCTCCCAGTTGCTCCCAGGCCCCCCCAAGTGCTCCCAGCCCCCCTCCCAGTTGCTCCCAGTCCTTCCCAGCCCCTCCTCCCAGTGCTCCCGGTCCCCTCCCAGTTGCTCCCAGTCCCCCCTCCCAGTGCTCCCAGTCCCTCTCCCAGTGTCTCCCAGTCCCGCCCAGTGCTCCCAGTCCCTCTCCCAGTGTCTCCCAGTCCCGCCCAGTGCTCCCAGTCCCTCTCCCAGTGTCTCCCAGTCCCGCCCAGTGCTCCCAGTCCCTCTCCCAGTGTCTCCCAGTCCCGCCCAGTGCTCCCAGTCCCTCTCCCAGTGTCTCCCAGTCCCGCCCAGTGCTCCCAGTCCCTCTCCCAGTGTCTCCCAGTCCCGCCCAGTGCTCCCAGTCCCTCTCCCAGTGTCTCCCAGTCCCGCCCAGTGCTCCCAGTCCCTCTCCCAGTGTCTCCCAGTCCCGCCCAGTGCTCCCAGTCCCTCTCCCAGTGTCTCCCAGTCCCGCCCAGTGCTCCCAGTCCCTCTCCCAGTGTCTCCCAGTCCCGCCCAGTGCTCCCAGTCCCTCTCCCAGTGTCTCCCAGTCCCGCCCAGTGCTCCCAGTCCCTCTCCCAGTGTCTCCCAGTCCCGCCCAGTGCTCCCAGTCCCTCTCCCAGTGTCTCCCAGTCCCGCCCAGTGCTCCCAGTCCCTCTCCCAGTGTCTCCCAGTCCCTCTCCCAGTGTCTCCCAGCCCCGCCATCCCAGTGTCTCCCAGCCCCCTCTCCCAGTCCCTCCCAGTGTCTCTCAGTCTCTCCCAGTCCCTCTCCCAGTGCTCCCAGTCCCTCCCAGTCCCTCCCAGTGTCTCCCAGTGCTCCCAGTCCCTCCCAGCCCCCCTCCCAGTGCTCCCAGTCCCTCCCAGTCCCGTACCGGTTGTCCAGGCACACGTCTCCGGCCAGTCCCGACTGTTTGTGGCTGAATTTGACCACGGGCCGCCGGGCCCCGGGCACGGCTCGGACCCCGCGGACCCCCGGCACGCAGCGCCGCAGCACCGCGCCCACCAGAGCCAGCAGCTGCTCGGGGAGGGCCCCGCGCCCCAAAAGGGACCCCCCGCACCCCAAAAGGGACCCCCCGGGCTCGGGGGATTCACCCCCCGACAGGGACCCCTCGGAGTCGGAGCCCGAGGGAGGAGCGGCCTCGTCCCCTAAAAGGGAGCCGTCCAGGGAGGGGTCTCTGTCCCCCAAAAGGGACCCCTCGGACCCCAAAAGAGACCCTTTGTCCCCCAAATGGGACCCTTTGTCCCCCAAATGGGACCCCTCGGACCCCAAAAGGGACCCCTCGGACCCCAAAAGAGACCCTTTGTCCCCCAAATGGGACCCCCCGGACCCCAAAAGAGACCCCTCGGACCCCAAAAGAGACCCCTCGGACCCCAAAAGGGACCCTTTGTCCCCCAAAAGGGACCCCTCAGACCCCAAAAGGGACCCCCCGGACCCCAAAAGGGACCCCTCGGACCCCAAAAGAGACCCCTCGGACCCCAAAAGGGACCCTTTGTCCCCCAAAAGGGACCCCTCAGACCCCAAAAGGGACCCCCCGGACCCCAAAAGAGACCCCTCAGACCCCAAAAGGGACCCCTCGGACCCCAAAACGGACCCTTTGGACCCCAAAAGAGACCCCCCGGACCCCAAAAGAGACCCCTCTGACCCCAAATGGGACCCTCTGTCCCCCAAAACGCGCTCTTTGTCCCCAAAAAGGGACCCCTCAGACCCCAAAACGGACCTGTTGTCCCCCAAAAGGGACCCCCCGGACCCCAAAAGGGATCCCCCGGACCCCAAAAGAGACCCCTTTAGGGGGGGGTCCTTGTCCCCCAAAAGGGACCCATTGGGAGGGGGGTCCCCATCCCCCAGCAGGGTCCCCTGGTTTTGGGGGTCCCCATTTGGGGTCTCCCGGTTTTGGGGGTCCCCATTTGGGGTTTCCCGGTTTTGGGGGTCCCCATTTGGGGTCTCCCGGGTTTGGGGGTCCCCATTTGGGGTCTCCCGGGTTTGGGGGTCCCCATTTGGGGTCTCCCGGGTTTGGGGGTCCCCGTCCCGGCCCCCCAGCTCCAGGTGCAGGTCGAGGTCGCAGCCGTGGACGTCGAAGCCGTTGACGGAGGAGCCGTAGGGGACAACGGAGCAGCCTGGGGGGGACACGGGGACAGGTGGGGATGGGTGTGGGGCACACCTGGGCACACCTGGACACACCTGGGCACACCTGGACACACCTGGACACACCTGGGACACATCACACACACCTGGGCACACCTGGATCACACCGGG